AATAAAAAAAGCATGCAAAAAGCCAAAAAGATAGCAACAAAAATAACAAGGATAAAATCTGATAGAAAAAAAAAATCAAGGAGGATGAAATCATATACATATATATAAACAATTTAGAAAACAATCCCAAACAAAAAAAATAGTAATAAAAAAATAAAGACCGGATTTAAAAAATTTAAAAATCATAGTAGGTGAAATTGAAAAATGTTTATAATTTAATAGATTATTTATAAATAAAAAAATGATAAGGAATGAAATTAAAAAATATTTATAATATTATAAATAATTCAAGATTAAAAAAAATAGTAATTAAAATGATAACAACTAAATATAAATAAAAAATAAATTGTAGGGGTTGGTCTAAATTTGTAAAGGAATTGACACAAAATTTAAGGTAAAAAAAGAGAAAAAAAAGATGGTTATCCAAGTTAAACTCAAGGGATGTTTGGGCCATTCGCTACCCCATTATATTTAGAGCTATCATAAAATGCAATATTTTATGGTTGGATAACCTCACATGCTTCACTTAAATAATTCTATAGTTGTCCACATGTCCTAGCAATGTTTAACAATGTTTAATATATGAAAAATATAACAATATCCTTAAACAACATAAACATTCACAACAAAACTATTATAAAATGATTAAAACAAAATCTCATCATATAATTATAATTATTTTATTTTTAAAAATATTAAAATAATTATATTATTTAAAAAAATAAAAAGAGAAAAATGTCAAGCTGATATTATATTATTTATTTTAGGATTAATTTAGTAATTTTACTATTTAAATAAAAAATAATTAATTAATTTCTATATAAGTTGTAGAAAAATAATTATGTTATGGTAAAAAATTAAACTTACCGGCATCAAAGATTTTATAATTTAAAATCAATTTCATAATTGTACTGTTAGGATCACAATGAATAACATTTTTAATCTTGATGGAAAGGCTTTCCTAAGATTATTGTTTTTTATTTTTTTTTACATTTGTTAAATTACGACGACATAAACACTGACGCAAGTCGGGCTTACATGTGCGACCCTCTGCGCGGGTGGAAAAATGCAACCCTTTCACCGATTGGCGCATGCATTTTTGCGACATGAGGTCGGAAAGCTTTTGGATTTTATAATGGACAGCTGGACCAATGGACTAACTTTATCATTTAAGGCCCGTGCTTGACACGTCAAAGTACGGATTTTTAACTTTGCCCTGGTTTAGACAAACAGCATCTCACCCAAAAAAGAAGATTTTTTTTTTAAAAATTACCATATGAAAGTAGAAATTTTAGTATAAAAACATCATTTGAAAAGATTTCGATGAAATAACATGTTTTTATGTTATTGTGCTTTAAAGATATGATATTTATTAAATATAGTTTTTTTTTAAATATATACCATTAAACCTTGCCTTTAATATTTATCTTCTCTTTTCCTTTCTTAGCTCTCTCGTATTCTTTCAGTGTGATTCTTCACCTCATTTTCCTAAAAACCCATCAGACTTCACTAAAGAAGAAGATAAAAACCCATGGTGTTATCAATATAATCCTACATCTCGTAGCCTTGGCTCTCACTTCACCACAGGACATCTCATCAGCTCTCAAAGCCTTCAGAGCCTCGGTCAAGCCAAGTTCAGTCCAGCCATAGCCTTGCCTAGCCTGATGGGACTTCACCACCGGCCCTTGTGCCTTCCCTCGTCGGACCCACATCACTCTCCTAGCTCTGACCCAGGCCATGCACCTTTTCGTTTCTTGTAGGGTTAATTAAGAGCTTGCTTCTTAAAATTCACGTGCAGGTAATCTCAGGACTCGTTCACTTTCAGAAGCTAGACTAGCTAGCAAGGAGATTGGCTTGGTGTTACAGTACTAGATGCAGCTGCCCAGGCATCCAATGCACTAACTGCTAGCTAGACTAGCCAGGTCTGCAAGCCTCAAAGGTTCTTTGCGCTTTATCTGCTCTTGGAGCTGTGAGGGCGTTCAGCTTGAAGATGGCATCGAAGCGGAGAGAGAAGGAGCCATTGTTGGAATATCCGCTTCTTGGATCTTTCCTCAGTTTGCATTAACTATAGCCCTTTGATGGAATTGGGATCTGATTGACGTCAGGTTTCAAATTAATCCCACCCTTTTCAGACTATATTTAATTAATTTACACGGTTTAAAAACAAGGCATAAATTATTATTATTAGATTTTGAATCGTAATATTAATTAAAAATTAAGATTCTAAACTATGATATTCAAAAATATACTATTTTATTAAAAAAAATTACAAATTTAATCCCTTTTACTATCTATGCTAGGGCTAAGCAATGCACAACTTACCCAAGAAGAAGTCCAAGGAAAAAGGGGAAAATTCTTTCCTTACTCGGGGATTCACTCATGAGTCACGACTCGCCCTTGTTTCCTAGAAGACCCCACCAATCATGGTGAAAAGAAGGGCCCACTTAGTCTGAACAAATTGACCTTTATAACCTGGAGACAAAAACTGGAATTGCATTTTTGGCAGAGAGGTGCCTAGCGTAGGTAGTGTATTACCTGAGTGATTATTGTAAAAAAAGAAAAAAACAAGTTATTATACCCCCCTCGTATATGATTTACTATTCATTACAATATTATAATTATCATATTATCTCTCAATTTAATTTTTTAATTTGACTTTGAAGATGAGGTGGCCTTTTGACCGAAATATTCTTTTCAAGATTATGTAGGATTATATTGATAATTAAGTTTTTTAATTTATTATAAAATTATTTATTTAATTATTGAATAAAATAATTCAATGCTTGTTATTTAATAGTATTTTTGTGTGTTTTTTCTAGAAATAGTATAATTATTTTGATATTCTTGAAGGTAAGATCAATTAAATTATCATCTAAGCATTTTTTTTATTATTTTACTTTATTTTTATTGTAAATTTCAATGCTATTGAGAGGTATTTTTATAGATTATATTTATTAAATATAATGAAAAAAATGATTGGTATGTGCCTACACGCTAACGTGTGGACAACTCCTGCACTATTTTGGCGATGCATGAATAGCCATATATCCATCAAATGTTATATTTTATGATAGTATTTGAAAGGTTTTGGAATACTCAACCTAATGAGACAACACATTTCACACCATTTATGATGGTTTAGTACCGACAATTATTTTTTTCTTTTCTTCTCTCTACTCACCTAATTTTTTGTGCTAACCCCTTAAAAATTTAAGAACATCCCTTTTATTTATTAATTTTTTAGACTTGATCCCTTTTTTTTATCATGATTTTTTTTATTGATCTATAAAATTAGCGTGCCTTTTCAATTTCACCCTCTTAATTTTTTATCTTTTAAATTTGGTTGCCATTCTTTTTATTGCTATTTTTTTGTTTTGAGTTATTTTTTTAAATTGATATTTTTTTTTACGATTTCACCCTCCTTTGCTTTTTTTTTTTTCTCATATTAAATTTAATCCTTATTCTTTTTATTGCTATTTTTTTGGTCTATACAAATTTTTATTTAGGATCATTTTTTTAAAATCAGTTTTATTTTATGATTTTATCCTCATTTATTTTTTTCCTATCAAATTTAATCCCTATTAATCTTTTTTTTTCCTATCAAATTCAATTTCACCCCTCTTAATTTTCTTTATTTTTAGCTAGGAAAGGTACTATCTATATGGAATAATAACACTAATAATTTCATCATGTTCCATTGCTAACTATATTCAACTAATAATTTTTTCTAATAATTTAAAATATTTGGGTCAGTTTATACACATCAAAATTAAAAATAACATCAAGTTTTAATCTAAAATAATTGTTCTTATACTTGAATTTTTTACCCTATGTGAAAGTTTCGAGTTTTAACCCACAAGTAATTTGTCAAGATAACACCATATTGATTTGAGAAACTTATTAAGAATATCCTAGATATAGTTAATTTTTAAATATTCATGGTTGTTAATTATTTAATAAAATATAAATTAATTAATATATATAAAACAAAAACAATTTAGATAGTTAAGTTTACGATATAAGCTGGGAGCTGATATTTATTACTTCTTTTCACCATAAGATTTATGAGTTGAAATGCTGTAATTCTGGATAATACAATTGATTTTAATTTGCATAGGTTGGGCCTGTATTAATTTCTATTTTCTAGATAAAGAAAGCGTACCCATGCGTTCTTGGGAGGCTCCGGGATCTCGCTAATGGTTCTTCAATTCATGAAAAAAATTCTTGAAGGTTACTGCCGTTTTGGACTCTACTAGTAGCATCAGGAACTGATTCTCTTTTTCCCTTTCCTTTCCTTTCTTTCTATTGCCGAAATCCAAACTTATAAACTACACCTGAAGGAGGCTTCTGCCAGGAAAATCCCAGATGATATTTGATATGTTTTGGTGGCGAGTGCAAGGATTCCTTCTGTTTTCTATATATATATATATATATATAAACCATGTTTAAAATACATTTTGTTATTGTTTCGAAATAAAATATAACAAACTTTCGATATCTTTCCAATAAAATCCTAGATGATGATCTTGTATATGTTTTGGTTATGAGTACAAGCATTCCTTTGTTTTCTATCACTAAACAATACAGCCTTATTTTCATAAATAAAAAATTATATTTTCATCTTCATCAACCAAATATATTTATATCTTATTTTGAAAACACTAACAAATCATAAACTAGCATTTATCGACTTTCATATTCTATGTTAAGAATGGGCATTCATTATCTAATATTGTCCCCATATATTTTCAAAAACTTTTTTGGCTGAGCATTGCATGTACCACACTGTAAATTTCACGTTACAGAAGTCCAGATCATGACAACAAGCGAAACAAAAAGAGACCATTATTGTACTGTAGTTCTTTCCCGACTACTTGCACATGAGCTTGAATCTCTCCACATATTGGAAGAGACGAGGTGAGACAACTAACTCATCCACTACAACATCGATAAGGAAAGGCATAAGAGCTTAAGATAACAAAAAGGGTCAAACAAACGCAGAGCTTAAAAGAATCATAAAGAGTCTTGATATCGATAATTTCCTTGTTGGTGGAATATCACAAACAAACAGATGCAGAGCCTAAAAGAACCATAAAAAAAGTTTTGATATTGATAATTTCCTTGTTTGTGAAATATTGCAAACAAATCAAAAAGAAAATTAAGCAAAGCTAAAAGCTAAGCTTCCTCATTAAAGATAAGTTTTTTATCATATTGCCTCTTGATGATCCATACCACCTGCAATTTTAGAGGAAAGTAAAATCAGCTTTTGTTCAAAAACAATTCCAAAACAATTTAAATAAAACCTAATAGAACCACATGACCATTCTCTAAAACCACAAGGCAAAATAAACATGGAAAATCAAGAAAATATTAAGTTTATAGAGATGGGAGGCATGACCGCATTTCTATACATACTGCATAACAAAAAGGCCAAAACAACTTGCATCATAGCAAAGAAAATAATCAAAGCCATCATCAAATCAAGAGCAAGAATAATTAAACAAACCATTATCAATAATGATACATGCATAAGCTATAGTAATTTTCAATAGTGACCCCAAGAGCATCAATGTACAATGAACCACGAGTACATTGCAAACGACAATAATCAAAACCATTATCAAAATCAAGAGTAGGAACAATTAAACAAACCACACCACTACTTGCAAATAATAGCAAACTCAATCTAATTGTGCAAACCATACAGACATCAACCATAATAATTTTCAATTTGTTAATTATGTATTAAACACAAACAGATCTTAAATCTTCATCGACAATAAAACTGAATTCGATTATAAGACATCCCAATTGCTACAGCTACTCGATTTAATCATTATTTTCTAAAAATAACACCATTTAACCAAGTACAAACCTCATAATAATTATCCCAATTATTAAAAAATCAAAACAATCAATCCGCCATGCATCATCATCAACAAATCTCTCAAAAAAATAAACAATAAAAAAAATTAAAAATTCTATCAATAAAAAACAAAAAAGCGATACTGAAATCGAAACATTACCTAAGAAGCACCAACGATGATGTTATTAATTGGGATAAAAATCAACTTTACGAAGAACCCAACAAATCCCATAACCACGAATCCGATTGCAGTACGAGTCGCCACCTTCGTGAATTCTACAAAATATAAAACCAGAATTTTCAAAATCCCTAATTTTTTTTACCGCGACAATCCAATAATTAAAAAAAAATGTTAATACCTTTTTGATCGGGTTTGTGGCAGCGTTTGACGAGTCGGACGCTATCTTTAGCGAATTCTCTGAGAGGATCGATGACGGAATCTATGGCGTCCATTTTTGTTGAAGAGAAATAGGAGATCTAGAAACCCTGGATAGATTTATTTAGGATTTTTTCTTCTTCCTTTTTGAAAGAGCAAAAAATACGCGAGAGAGAGAGGGAGAGTCTCTTATGACAATTGCTTTGCAGACGGTACAGACACCGTTTTATTTCTTCAAGTGTAACGCGGAAGAGGAGCCTTTTCCTGGTCAAAACTGGAAGGCAGATTTTATTTGATTTAATTTTTATTTTTTTATTTATTTTATTAGATTGAAAAGCCTTTCATAATAAATAGAGTAAAATAAGATTTGTGTCCCACACTTTGTTCGGGCCGGGTAATTTTTTTTAATATGAAAAAACAAAATAAAATTCTACTTATTTGTTTAATTAGTAATTTAATAAAAAAATACAATGAAATTAAATAAATAAATAACAATAAAAAAAAAAGAAAAAAAACTCAATTTGTGTCTACCCAAATTATAAAACAACTTAATATTTAAGGAAAAATTAAAAAATAAAAAATAAAAAACAATAAAAAAATCAATTAAACCAAGTTAATTCACCAACATTACAACTATAGACATATAATTAAGGTAATCTTATACAAAGAAACATAGAAAAAAAAAACTTGAAGGCAAAATTCTAATAAGTCAAATGAGAACATAATAACTTAAAAAAAAAAAGGAAGATGAAACTCAATTTCTAGCAAATAAAATATTTAATGATGAAAATTTAAAAAACAATTTAAACCCACCTAAATTAAGATAAAAAATCTTTAACCTGGTTGTTATATCAAGGTGATTGCATTTGAAAATAAATTGAATAAAATCATGAAATTTAATTATCAAACAATTCAATATTGAAGTATGAAAATAAAAAAAAAAGTAATGGAAAAATATGAGTCAACTCAAGTTAACCTGCAAACTGCGATTATGGATATAAAATCAGGATAATTTCATAAAAAATAAATTATAAAGATTAATTTTTAATAAATTAAATGTTGGATGATAAAATTAAAATAAGTTATTTTTTAAAAGGATAAAAAACTAACTTATCTTTGAAACTAGTGACTCTGGTTATGAACTTGAAACTAACCCTATAATAGCAAAAAAACATTTAAGTTAATTTGGGTTAATCTATAAACCCTGCGACCATGGTCACGTAATTAGGATAATTTAATAGAAAGAAAATGAGAAAACAAAAATGTAAAAGGCCAATTTTAAATAAATTAAATGTTAAAAAATAAAATTAAAATAAATCAAACTAAAAAAATAGCAAAAACAAAAAATTAAAAGTTAACTCATGTTACCCTTTGAAACTTTTAAAAGAGGGTAAATAATAATAATAATACTAATAAAAGATATTAGCTCAACAAGGGACTAACCAGAAAAAACATTTTAAACCCAATTTAATCTCAAAACTTGTAACCCATGAAATTCTTTCCCTTAGTTTAACCAAGAAATTTAATTCCTAACCAATCAAATTTTGAAGGACAAAATCATGAAAAGATATCAATTTAAAAAACTTGTCTAAAGAAAAAAGATAATAATGAAATGAATAGGGATCAAAATTGATAAAAAAAAATTATGGATGATAAAATTATATATAAAAAACAATCTAAAAAATAATCTTAAAAAAATAAATAACAAACAAAAGAATGAAGACCAAATCTGAAATATTAAAAAATAATAGAAGCTAAATTAAAAAAAACAATTGAGATTTTATAGCTTATTGAAAATTTTAAAAAATAGTAATAAAAAAATAGAAACTAAATTTGAAAGATTAAAAAATAAAAGAGGAGAAATTAAAAAATATTTGTAGTCTTAAAACTTATTTAAAATGAAAACTAGTAATTAAAAGAACTAGAGACAAAATATAAAAGGAAAAAAAAATTAATATGGTTGGTTTGGAATCTTAAAAGAGTTAACGCTGAATCTAAAAAGTAGAGAAAAAAGAAGAATAAATCGACACCAAATCAAAAACTCTTCTAGTCCAAAGGCAACGCCATTGTATAGGATGTCAAGACCTTTCAAACACTACCTTAAAAATCATCATAATCACTGGAAAAGCATTAGAATTGTTCACATGCTGCACTTGTTTTTTAGAATAATATTTAATATATATTAATTACAAAAATACACTTAAATAACTTTTAATTTATAATAAAATCAATGTAAAATAAATAAAAAAAATTATTGTGAGAAAGTTAAATTGATTTTATCTTTAAAGGCATCAAAGAAGCATGTGAAAGATAAAAAGACCAAAATTCCTGTTGATAATAAACATTATATCTTTGTATTCTATAGTTAAATTAGTAAAATAAAAATAAAACAACCAATCTAATCTCATATGATTGATAAAAAATAATTGTCTTTGTAAAAAAATCATCTCGCCACCAACACCCATTTCGAAGGTTTAACAGCTAAAAACCAATTTTATCCTATTTTGATCCAGGGATACAGCAACTTCCCTTCCCTCTTTAGTTTTTTCTTAATCGTCGAGTTAGACGTTAGTATTTTGAATAGCTAAATTATATTCCCTCACTAATTTTGTAGAGGAGAAGTTGTCAATATTTCTCTCTCTCTCTCTCTCTTTGTCATTTTAAAAATATCAACAACTTTCTAACCTATTTCAATAACATGTATATAATTCCTGAAGTAATGTATGGAGATTTATGGTTTATATAAAAGCGAAATCAAATTATAGGAGAAAATCCCAGCAAAGATCTTCCTGGAGTGACATTCAAATGGTAGCATATGATGACATAGAACCATTCAAATCAGTAACAAATAGATAATAAATTAAGAAACTGAACATCAGATATAGTTAGGCAAGTCAGCAGCAAATGTAGAGCTGCCATACAATTAAGTTAATAAGTTTTAAGAAGTCTCTAACAGCTAAGGAAAGCTTTCTTGAACAATAGCCAACAAGTAGACTTAGAGATCATATGCACTCAAATTCCAAGTAATATTAGTCAAGGTACATATTTGCCTTCTGTCATGCCACTAATCACTGCATCTGAGAAGCTTAACTGCAGAAAAAGAGCAAGGAAAAACAATTGGACGACATAGAGAAAGCAATTATAAGACATAGTATGACATTGAAGGAGAAGAGTGATGAAGCATGGCCATTTCTCTTTCTTTCATTCATTGACTTGGTCACAAAGAGGTTCAAAGGTTAATATGAGTATGGCAGCTCATGCTATCCACCCGCTCTCTCTCTCCTGTTTATGGGATAATATGAGTACATGCCAGGATGGTTTAAACACACCAAAAAAAAAGACTGTCCCTTCATATGCAGAAGAAAATTCTGTTAACAGAATAAAGCAAATCATGAGAAGTTGAAAATTAACAAATTATAAGAACTTTTGCATTTTTCATGGTTAGTACTGTTAACTGAAACCTTAAGAAGTAAGATTTTAAAATAAAAGTCCCAAGGATCTTTGAGGATAAATAGAAGCATCCTGATATTCACATTGAAGAGTGATTTGGAGCCTTTTCATCCCATTAATTAACTAAAAATGCTCTGCGCCTGTTGCTTTTATGAGGGAGGATGATCAAGAACCAAGGAAATACAAGTTTATTTTGAGAGGAGAGAGAAGTCACCCTAGCTTCAACACACATCACAAATAAGGCATCTTCTTTAACAATATACTGAGTTACTGATAGCCATAAAAAGGGTTGGTGTAGTGCACAGAAATGCACAAACAAGTGTTGAAGGGAAATAAATACAAATTTAGAAACATCATATATTCATTGGGTGCTGGCATGGAGAAAATGGAACAACAGCTCAGAGATAATAGGACAAAATAGAAGAGTTTTTTTTTATGAAATACAATTTTATAACAAACACCAACAGCAAGAAAGGAAACTAACCTGAAAATTCGTTATTACGTTCTTTGAACATTATAGGTCTTATGTGGTAAAACGAAAATGGAACTATTTATTCAAAGAAATCATAGTCAGCAAGATCAACGAGCTCAATAAATTAAAGAGACAACAAAGATTTTCTCAGGAAATTAAAACCTCTACAGAACCACCACACAAAAAGAAAGAGAGCTAGGAAAAAAAAAAAACCAGGCACTTCCACAGCATGCTGCTACTATGTCTGCCAGGTAACAAAAGACAACCTAATGTTTATTCCAACTTTTGCAGAATCTAATTACAACAAACCTGGAAGTGAGATAGCATGGTCCCACACAGCACACCTCACATATAGAAAAGAGAACAAAAATTAGCCTCGCTATAATTAGCCATGTAAATCACTCACGAAATTCAGAATACAAACAAAAATCAATAGCTGGTAAAGTCACTCCACAAGTGTTATGCATGGACTTTACACCATCCTTTAAAGAATAACTCTCTTAATAGAAACCCCATTAAGTACCGTTGATCAAAATCAATGACTATCAGGAGAGAGCAAAAACTGTCTCTAGGCCTAAACAGAGCCTTTGTTTGACAAGGGACAATCCTCATTCTTTGATCCTTCCTCTAAGACAGACATTCTAATCAAAATGATTTACATTGCACTCATATTAATAAAAAAAAAAAATTGAGCTTTTATAAATGATCATTTGACGGCTACATGGCATGTCTCCATTTGTCTCAAACTCGAACACTTCCCATGGAAACCACTAATGTCTACAGGCTTCTTAAGTTGCAGGTAGTATCCATTTGCTGTAGCCTAGAAGAGATTTAGGCGAATAACACAACTATGGCAGACTATTGTAAACTTTCTAGGTCTAGTTCTAGAGGCTAATCTCTAAATTTATTTGAAAGTATCCACCAAAGCTGCCCATTATCATAGACTGCAACCAACATAAATGAACAAAAGCAGCCAACAAGAAGCAACACCCCTATGTCCATGAGAAACAAATCATTGAAACAATGTCGATGAAAAATCAAATATCATTTGGACAAAAATCAACTGCATTACACTTGGATAGGATAAAAAAATTGCTTCCTTACCATAGCCAATAAAAGATCAAAGAGCCATTACACCACTGTTCTCCTGCACGAACGAGGGTTTTATCCATTATGAATCACCAACCCACTATAGATCACTTTTTTTCTGAGTTCATCTACAATATATTGATGATAACCGAAAACAGCTTAACAAGACACAAAATTCAAACTGCATAAGATGACACCCAATAAAACATTGCCCTCAAATGACCCCAAAACATGATACAAAAGATTTTCTCTAAAAGAAACAGCCACAAAGACAGGTTTTTCTAGTTCATTAGAATGCACAAGCATTTGTCACAAGAAAAGAAATGTACATGCCAGTAAATTTAAGTGCAAGCATGCGATAGGTAAAAAGAAGTTCATAAACCAACCACATTTATTAATACTATGGTTTGGTTGGGTGATCTACGATGGGAATAAAATGGAACAATTGTTCAAAGACAGGACAAAATTGAGGACTGTCAACAAAATACAATTTTCAAGCAAACACCAATGGCAAGAGAGGCAACAATTTAAGACAAAATTGAGAAATTTTCTCATCTAATTCTTCATATATGAATAACATGATCTATGGTAAGAAGTACATGCAACCGATTATCCAGAAAAATCATAGTGGGACAACATTGTAGATTTTATGAACCAAAAAAGACAAGAAAAATTCTTCGAAGATTTTCTAAGGAAAATAGAATTTTCATGCAACCAAAGAAGATAGACAAAAAACTCTTGTTTTTTGCCTTCCATAACTAGAGCAAACTCCTGCTCGGACTCGGTGTGCCAAATAGCAAAAGACAGCCTAAAGTTTATTCCTTTCATAGAAATCCAAATAAAAAATTTACACGTGAAATGACATGGTCCCACAACAAGCACCACACATATAGCATAAAAGATAAGGATTAACCTCACTGATTTTAGAAAAAGTATATACACTGGTCAAATTTTAGAGTACAAATGAAAAACTAATTGCTGGTATAGTGATTCCCACGTGTTAGCATGCACCATACACCACCTGTATTTAAGAAAAACTCTTTCGATGGAAATGTCCTTAAGCAGTGTGATCAAAATTAATGACAATCTGAACAAGCTTGTCTCTTTTTAATGTGTCAGCTCAGAGCTACATTAGATCAGGTAAGTTTTTTCATCCTTATATAAAACATATAGAGTTTTTTCCTTTTTGACAAGGGGCACAATCCTCATTCTTCAACACTCTTCTAAGACACCCATTGCAATCAAAATGATTGACAGCGTACCTGAATTGAGAATCAAATAACTCAAGCTCTCATCCCCATCAGTCCCATGACACGTTCTCCACGGTTACCTTGACCTCAAACAATTCCTCATGGAGACCATTAATATGAATGGGATACTTAATAAATTGCAAACAAAGTCCATCTGTTGTGCCTACAGTGTATTTAGGAGATAACAACACAACTGTGATTGCTACTATATGCCTTTTCGGGCTCTAAAGGTTAACCTCTATTTATTAGAAACGATCCATCAAAAGTTTTCCATTGTCGTATGCTTGAACCAGCATAAACAAACAAAATCGCCTAGATGCCCTCAAGAAGCAAACTTCGTAAGCACAAGCATGCAAAAAAAATCCTCAAAACAGCCACTGAAACTGCATAAACCCGGACAGCAAAAAATCTTCAACTCACATAGGCTAAAAGATTGCTTCTTTACCATAAAAGCGAGATCAAACAGCCATTGAACCACTGCTTACACAAATCTGCTATATTCTAAACCACTAATGTTGCGTGTTTTCTAGGTTTCACTATCTCATATTCAAAAATAACTTAAAACAACAACCAGAGGCATAACATTTAAACAACGGAATTTAACACCCCATAAAAGATTTGCCCAAATGACCCAGAAGCATCCCCTTCGCACTAAACCAGAAATCATCTCATACAACAACCTCGCTACAACAAAACCCACGCTCCAAATCGACAAAATAAGTACAAAAAAAAAGAAGGAAGAGAAACCTGTCACCAAAACAAGAAAAATGAGAAAACAAGACATTAAAAAAGAAGAAGAAAGAGACATACCCTTGTCCACCACTGGCACCACCACTCCCATAAGAACCATCCTCGGCGGCAGCTGTCTGCCAAACAGATTGCCATGCCTGAGAAGGTGGCTGAACATAAACCCCAGTGGCAGGGTCCACAGCTGGCCTTCCAATCATCATCCCGCCAGCGGCAGCGGCAGGCTGTCCCATCGGAGGGGAATAATAAGGTACCCCACTAGCCGTAGCGCCGACAATTCCACCAAGCCCAGCAGCTTCCTCTCTGATCTCATCTCTCGGTACAATATCAACCAAGAAATCAAAAATGTCAGTTCTGGTAATAGCAGCAGCAATGTCATTCTTCTGTAAAGTCCTTCTCTTGTTTTCCTCAGCATGAAGCCAAGAACGAATTGTCAGTTCTAAAATGAAAAGCTCACATGCTTTAGCAAACAAAATAGGTGCTTCAGCGGAGATCATGGGCACATCTTCATCAGCTTTCATGATTTTCTTGATTCTTGCTAGAGGGAGTTGATGGTTCTTGAAATCATTAACTTGTTCAATTTCTTGACGCTGGTAAGACCAAAACATTTGAAGTTGCTGCTGCTGTTGTTGAAGGAGGTGGTGGAATGGGGCTGAGGATGGTGCCCCTGGTGGTGGTGGGGGTGGAGTGGTGGAGGTGGAGTGTGGCGGATATGCGGTGGATGGAGGCTGGTGATTGGTGTTGGTGTTGTCCATTGTTTTGTTGATCGGAGACAAAAGCAGTTTTGTTTTGTTTTCGAGGGTTGGAGATGAAATGAATGGGGGAGATGATGAGATAAGGCGGAAGGGTTCAGTGTTTTGGGGCCGTTTGATTTGCTGATTTTTAGTGACTTTTTCTTATGTTCTCGCTTGGATTCCCTTCTTTTTATTTATCACTTAATTATACCAATCAAATCCGGCCTCGCACAGCCGGTCGATTTAAAATTTTTCCACGTGATTCATTTATTATTTTTATTTTAAATTAAATATAAAAGTTTTTTTTGTTTTATTAAATAGTTAAATACCTTTAATCAAAATCTTAAATTTGTTAATTTTTTAAAATTCATCCTTATTTTTCTTGGTGATTTCTTCTAAATTCTTTTATGAAACTGATTTATTTTTTTAATTTATTTATTTTTTCAAATTCAATCTTTATTCTTTTTATTGTCATTTTTTTCTTTTTATTACTATTCCAAAATTAGTTACTATTTTTTTAAAATTTGATCTTTTTATTTGGTCCTAGCTAATTTATTTGATTAGATTAATTTCTATACAAAACCCAATCTAAATTATATTTTGAATAATCAAATCACAAAATCAACATGTGAAATTATACTGATTTTAATAAAAACAACGGCCAACAGGATTTATGGATGAAACCCACATTGACTATAGCTACATTTTTTTTTATTTTTTTTTATCATAAAGTATGAGGATCGCTTATATGATCATAACAAAGTCAAACTAAGCAAGTGACGATGCAATCAAGTGAGGCCAATTTTCAGTTTAGGGAGTTATTTGAAAATGCGGTCTTTTAAAAAATTTTATTTTAAAATAAATAAATATTATTTTAATAAAAAAACATTAAAAAACAACTATAATTACAGCTCTCTGACACAGTGCTCTGACACAATGCAAGCAGAACTACTTAGCTATAAGGTACGTTTAATTTTTATGTTTTTTTCACGAGTACAGAGGGAATGACCATTCTAGCCTTGCCCAAAAGAACCGTAATTGATGTCCATCGCTGTCATCTTCATCTTATAATAGTAAGTTGTGTTATATAGTTATGACATGGAAAAATATAGCATTATTTCTGGCAGTTCAACTCAAATCTTTGAAGGAAGAATAAAATAAAAGGTGATGTGTACGTGTCTTTATCTTATCAGCCAATGATACAACATCGTGCCATCGCATGATGCTTTGCACCTTTGAAGAGACCTTCCTGCTGTTCCTCTAATGGCTCCACAGTTCGACTGCTTTTCCTCTCCAAGTGTATTGTATGCCTCTAGAAGAAGACCCTTTTTTTAACCTAACTCTTCCTGAGATTCCTCCATTAACACCAAGACTCTATCTTCTTGAGATTATCTGCAAGAGAAGAAGACTTCCATGTTATGGATTTGTATTAGGGTATCACTGTTTTAAAAAAATAAAAAAAATCTTATTTATGCTCGAAAAAATGAATTGAAAATGCAAAAACTGGAAAGTTGTTTTTCTTTATGAAATGTAAAAAATAGATACATATATAAATATTTTATTTTGTTTATTGTTTTTATTATATATATATTTTTTATTTATCTTGTAAGTTAATCATGCAAATGATTTTTTTTTGTATAAATATATCGTGCAAATACAACTTATATATTTAAAATCTAAAAGGAAAGAATTTTAAAATATATTACAATAAACTCTTTAAAGTATAGTAAAATTATAGAGACAATTCAAAAGATTAGTTACTATTTAAAAAAATAAACTAAATAATTTTAAATAAGATAGGGGTATTAAATAACATTTAAAATTAAAAAATAATTAATTAAACAAAAAGCTAGATCCACACGACTGATTTACTTGTTATCCATCTTGGTAAATAACATGATATTTATACATGAGTATTTTTCAACTTGTTTTTACTGTTTATTCAACTTCTTTTTACATAAAAATACTTTAAAAACATACTATAGATCTCAATAAAAGCATTTTCAACCTAAAAAACTCTTAAATCAATTCAAATACTCAAAATTAAATATAATCAAAATAAAATCTATGAATCTCAAGTCTATCTTTTCCGACGTATTTAAAGGGTAAAACCATTTTTGATGAACTTTTTTTTTAGAATAAACCTATTAACATCAAGTTCTGTTTTTTTATGGTTGACCAAACATTTTTTTTTCAATGACTTTCACTCTTCTCCCCTTTTTTTTTTGATTAACGTGGGTGTTTGGGCCAGCTTACGTGCACCACGACTAATCCCACGGTCCACTGAACATCCTACAAGCCCAGTGAACAGGTAAGGCACCGCGGGGGTGACAGGCGTACCACACAGAGAGGAGCCAACAGATATAGGAAGGAAACCACTCGCCAGCCCCACTGCCACTGGGACTCGAACCGAAGTTCGAAAGAAGGCGAGCAGCGCCTTACGCCACTAAGCTACAAGTTGCTTGGTGTTTTCACTCTTCTCCCTTAATATTAAGGGACGGTGTGATAAAAATAAAGTTTTAATAAAAATTTTAAATAATAAGAACTAAATAAATGTATAATTTAAAACTTAAGGGATAAAATTGAAGTTTCCCATGCTTTTTGAACAACCAACTTTGTTTTTTTTTTTTAAACTTTGGTCTTTAATTTAAAAAAATTATTTGATAATAATTAAAATTTTATTTTATAAAATTAAATTTTAATTTAAGGTTCAAATATTCTATGCATCAAATATGCAAATATAAACAAATTACAAGGTGTAGAAGTATGAAAATATAACTTACAATGATCAAATTGAAAAAAAAAATTAATGACTAAAATGCAAAAAAAAATAAAAAATTATAGCAACCCAGAAGGGAAAAAAGTGGTTATGAACAGTGAAATTTGAAAGAACAACTCTGTTTACTTATTTATCATCCTTGTTTTTTCAATTCTTTGTTTAAAAATAATCTAAAATTCCATTTCATAAAGTCTAAATATTCTATGATATATCAAACATGTAAGAACATGCAATGTGAGAAGGTTAACAGTGTACAAATTTATCCACGGTAAAATGCCAATCTGTTTTAACAGATGAATTGTATAATGGGTGCTCGAACCATTCGCCGCCGGGTAAGTGAGAAAGGGAAGATATTACAAACCTAACCATGGCGTATCCGAGAAGATTTGGAGTGTTTTTTCAGGGCTACCAACACTAGTTTAGCTTCTGCAACCATACCAGTAATGACTGAAGAAACAAAATGGCATCCTGCCAACCTTTCCATGAGAATAGGTAGATGATTAAAAGCAAACATCGTTAAAATGCAAGATATTGGAGTCATAAGCTAAATGAGAATAAATTCATCAGACACAACGAACACAGGAGAAGGAAGATGTTGAAATTCTTTGTATTTTTTGTGTATCATAATAACAGATTCAAGAATTATGGGGTGCAGTTCCTGTAACACAAAATTGACCAGCTGCAGAACACCAGTCCTTTGGAGAGTAACCAAAAACATTATTAAAATTATCAAATGGCAGCAAAAAAAAAAAAAAAGCTTAGCCTATTGGATGGTAAGCTATAAATTCTGCTACCCTGTGTAAATTCAGCCTTCCAAACTGTCTCCAAGTTGCAAAGACAGCTAAGATAAAGTCTCAAAGGCATCCTGTAACTTCAAACAAAACTGTAATCCCACCAATGTATAGAAAAGGAAAGAATTTCTGAATCAGTTTCTGTAAAACCATGCCCCTGTCTTTGAAGAAATGCTAAAAGGAAAGTTTTCTGAGACTTTGGCCTGCAATGATCTCTAACTTCAATTTTCTAACACTTCAACTACTTAGCAAAAACTGTTAAGTGAGCCCTTCAGTTTAAGTCAAGCCTAACAGAGAAACTTCTAGATTTTTTTCCCTAGTTCTTTCGTCGCATCCGTTTATACACAATTATCGTGGCTTCATTTGTTTCCTTACCCATTTTCTTCCTACCATCAGTCACATCTTCTCTAGCAGCCTCTCCCACCACCCCTTTTTCCTTGACTGTGTTGACATTTTCAACAAACTCTTCTTCACTGGATTTTTTCATATCCCCAGATGAATATTTTTCCTTATCTTTTTCAGCAGTCTCCATCATTGCATCCAACTGAACTTCTGTTAATACCTGAAGTAGCTCCAAAGGAGTTGATGCAGGATCAAGCTCCCAGCAACCTTTAGGAGCATATTGACCTTCTTGACTTGTGAGCAGAACTGAAGGCACCTGGTGAGAAAACCTAAACATCTCTTCCCTTGGAATTGTCCTGGTTTTGCTTGGATCAGGATGCTGGCGAAACACCGTCTTGAAACCAGCAACTTTAACAAGAGGGGCAACAGCAACTCCTCTCTCCTCTTTGTAGTCCTCAAGTACTTCAACCATGTCGTATTTGTGTATGACTTCATCTGGGGTATGCTCATTCCAATTAGGGGACCAGTTTTTATAAATGGCCCAAACATCTCCCTTTCCAGGATATACTTGAATGGCTCCTCTTGCGCCCTTCACCCACTTCACCTTGTGAGAGAAAGAATTAAGAGACTTATTGACTTCATGCTTACCTATCCAGAATTCTCCACTGGTCTTGTAAAAGCCGGAACCAATCCAGTTTAATGGGCCCAATTCACGGTTGCTTTTGGTGTTAAGCCAACTAATCCGCATTTTGAACGGTTTCCGTGATATCACACTATGAATCATGGCATAATACCGAGGCATCCCATCATCATTATCATAAGCAGCCCAAACCTGGTTATCACCAAATGATTTCTCGGTGCGATCCTTGTCAAAATCATGAAAATCTGGATCCAGAACACTCAGTGCTAGCCGATCACTGATGTTTGTATCTGGATCGTCATTAGCATTAATTGGTAAAGGATCAGTGGAGTGAACTCTGCTCTTGGAAACTAGATACTCTGGACATTCTCTCGCATCAGCTTTTGTGCCATTCATAGTAGCCTTCTGCTTTCCTCTCTCCTTGTTTATATACTTTCCTGATGTCTTTAGAACATTAGCCACACCGCTCCATTCCTTCACCTTCTTGGAAATGTCCCTCTTAGCCTTCTCCATCATCATCTTTCGAGTTTCTGCTTGTGTCAACTCCTTTGTGCTATTAACTTTATGGTTACCTGAAATGTTCCTCCTCCCTGCTTCAAAACTACTCTTTCGAGAACGAGATTCAACAAC